GTTAAAAAATGCTATTAAATGACTAAAGTCTTCTTCAATAATTTTTCGTAAGGAATTCCAGTTGTCACTTGTAAAAAATATAGCTGTATCGTCCGCAAAACTTATTATTTCACCTCTACATCTCTGCTTAAATAGATCATTAACATATAAATTAAAGAGCAGTGGTCCCAACACTGTTCCCTGAGGAACTCCATATGTAACAGTTTCATATTTACTCGTAGTGTCGTTTATTTTAACACACTGTTTTCTCTTATTTAGATAACTTTCCATTAGCTTATATGTAGTTCCTCTAAAACCGCAATCCTCTAATGTAGATAGTAGTTTTTTATGATCCACAGTATCAAATGCCTTTGCCAGATCAACAAAAATACATATTGCTGGTTTAGATATATCAATAGAATTATTTATTAATTTAGTTAAATTGGCAATGGCATCTGAAGTAGATTTGTTAACTTGGAACCCAAATTGTTTAGAAGACAATATATTGTATTTTGATAAAAAATTGAACATTCTTGAGTAAATAATTTTTTCGAAAATTTTAGAAAAGGTTGAGATAATCGATATAGGTCTAATTATTTATATCTGCCAGACTTCCACTTTTATGAAGTGGTATGATCATAGCATCTTTAAGAATGTTTGGAAATATCCCCTCATTTAACATTTTATTGGCTATATAAGCTAATACTGATGCAATGTATGGGGCTATTGGTTTTATTATTTCAGCTGGAATACCATCTATACCCGGAGTTTTTTTATTTTTTAGTCCATTTATTGTTTTCAAAATTTCAGTATGGTTTACTTCAGAGAATTAAATTGAATTCACTATTTTTGTGGAGTTGAAGGAATTTAAGTTTAAGGGATGGGTTTTAATTTTTTCAGCCATTTTATGTCCTACACCTGTGAAGTGTTCACATAATAGGTTAGCCATTAGTTTGTTGTCTGTAATCGTTTTATTTTCTATGTTTATTGATTTTATGTTTTCTTTTTTTTTTGTTTTATTACCATACAGGTCTTTTACGCATTGCCATAAGCCTTTGGACGAGTTTTTATTATCAAGTATTTTGTTATTATAGTAATCTGACTTAGCAAGCCGTAACATATTATGGAGGCGATTTCTGTATTGTTTAAATTCTCGTTTATTCTCTTCGGTAGGGTTTTTCAGCATTTTTTTGTAAATACTTAAGTAATTCCTGAGCAAGTGCATTAATTTAAGAGAATTAGCTTGGTCACTTTGGAAAGCTGTATTAAGGGCAGTTAGTTCTCTCAGAGTTTTCTTCAGAAAAACCATGTACAGGTAATTTTTTTTATCATCTAACATCTCAAAAAGTTGTTGTGATGTATAGCATCTTTCTCTATCTTTGGTTAGCTGAAAGTGCAGTTGTAGAACATCCCACTGATCCAATATTTTATTTATGGCATTAAAACGTGCCAACCATCTAGTTCCACTTAATTTATCAATTTTCGTTGGCGCTGCTTCATTCATTACTTCATACAATTTTTTATATTCAATCTGACGCTTAGAACTGCAACTGAACCAGTTGTGAGATTCTTTTATTAAAAAATCTAAATGTTTGGGAAGTGATTTAAAAGGATGCTCAGCAGCCAAGTGAAGAGAGTGGCAAACACACTTAATTACCACTAAATCTCGATTTGTCATAGCTTTTACATGAGTCGAAAAAGAATTGTGTTTTCCAACCATGACATTAGCTAATCCCAATTAAGTTTTCCATTGGGAGACTGTCTTTAAGAAGTTGACTCCTCATTGTTTCAGCTAATGTCAAAGCATCTCCTGCGGTAATTTCTATTAATCTGTAAAAGGTCGTAATTATTTTTCTTTTGAGTTTGCTATAATATTTAATCATAAGACACATCATTTTGGTACAGTCGATGGCCGTGCTTTCATCAATTATCAGAGAATATTTTTCATTTCCAACATCAAGGATTAGATCTTCCAACAAGCATGGACTAATAACATTTAAGATTAAGGCTGTACATTTCGTTCGATGAAGTTTTACTCCCTTGAGTAATTCTAGACTATTAAGTAATTCACTTAAATGATTTGCCGTTCTTGTGGAACAATGCTCCGCAATAAAAGCAGCTACTTTCAATTCTGCGACTTTTCTTTTCTTTGAAATATTAGTTGTCAAAAACTCAGTAATTTTTTTGCTGGGACCAGCGTTATATTTTTTCTCAGACTCAAGATGTTTTCTTGATTTTCTGTGCAACAAAAGATCTTTCTTATGTGCAATTAATGAACACTTGCAAACTTTACAAAAACCCCTTTTATCGTCTTCAGGGTCCGGCATAAGCCATCCTATTAAAAATATACTATAATTGGTATACGAATATTAAACCGAAGATAAAACTTACCCCTTAATTCACTATTTTGCTCCCAAACACTTCTGTACTTATTCGCCATTATTTTTATTATATACAACTCAACTCTTCGACAAACGCTAAACGTGAATCGGAAAATCCCGGTCCCGAGAGGGGGTTCTCATATCAACGTCTTTCAAGACAAATTATGCGGTCGGTAGGGTAGGCTTCGCTATACCGCTAGTGTATTAAATTATTTTAACTCGGCAAAAATAGATGGCTCTGCTTGTACAATGCAATAATAAATAAGCCATATATTTTTCGTTATTTATAATATCATAATATTATTTTAAAAACCCCTGTTATCCCCAACGCAATAGTTTTTCCCCAGAAGAATCCCCTAGAAAACAAAAACCCCAAAAAATCCCCAAGAAGATGAAAAATCCCCTAACCTGGCAACCCTGTTCCAGTGTTACACTGGAATTTAGAGATGTATTAGCAAATCTGTAACTGTTAAGTACATTTAAGGATTTGTTACAGCCCATCTCTAAATTTATGCGATATAACCGAACTTCGACTGAGTTCTGTTTATAAATACGGATCTTAGAATGATTCCACATGCTCAAAAGTTTGACTGGTAAAATTTTCATCAGAACAAAAAATCAGAAAGGAGAAATGCTAAACGACATTTGGACTAGAATGGTACTTATGGCGGACTAGTGTTTGTTTTGTATATCTGTTACAGTAACTATATCAAGCCAATGTATATTATTTAATTGATTATTAAAAGCATGCACATCTAAGTTTTTAATATCTCTAAAGGTAATAAACTATTGTCAATTATTTACACATTCAAATTTTAAAGCACAATAAACAAACCTATGATCAGAAAAAAGATCAGCATTTAGAGTACCACTAACTAAAAAATTTTTAGATTTTTCAATATAGGATCTAGCAGCGTAGCTGAGGTTTTTGTGGTGCGTGTAGACTGTGAAATGACTTGTTTTAGTCCATATGCTTTAAAGCAACGATTGAGATTATTGTCAGCGTTACTTAAATCAATATATACATCACCAACTACTAAAATATTATCAAATTGCGGCACAATTGATGTCAACATATCATCCAGTAAATTAATAAAATTTGGCACAGATGACTTCGGTGATCTATATAAAATACCAACTTTAACACATCTGCTGTTAATTTTTATTTTAACCCTAGTTGCCGCGGTTAATCCCAAAAAAGGCCAGAATTCGGCAAATTAGTCTAAAAGCACCAAGTTTTGCAGGAACATTTTTAAGGCCATTCTAAGAGATTTGACCCGGAGGGCAAGCCCAATTTTTGATTATGAGTCAAGATGACGGCTATTTTTCAAAATGGTGGTTTATAATCTAGTAAATCTTATTTTGATCGGTTTTAAACGATTTATAGGTCGTTTTTGACTAATCTGGAGCTGAAAAAATCAATAAAAATATTATTTTTTTCATGCTGATGCAAGTTTAGCTAAAAATACTGTATACAAGATAGTCAAAAATGACCTACGTGGAAATAAAATCGAAACACATAATTTAGATTTTATATTTCCTGTCATGCAGGTATATTTTAAAATTGCTTTAATTACATGTGGTTCAATTTAATATTAAAAGCGTCTCTCTCTCTACTCGGCGAGTCTATCCATCTATCCAAATGCAATACCCCCACTCTGAAATATGGTTCAACCAAACCGAATAAAGTAAGTGACCTGGCGAGTCTCGAGTTCGCGACTGACCTCAGTTTTTGTTTTTACTTGTGAGTGTGCAACACGCGACTTAGCTAACAAGTACTTTCATTTTGTTGAATAGAAAAATCAAGGAAGTTTTTTTTCTACTGGTCAATAAGTCAGGTAAAGAATATACAGATAATATTTCCATTTATTTTATAATGGTAATAGATCATGTTCCCACACATAAATAAAAGAAAATCACTGCTTTGAGGTTATGTGTTTCTTATATCGCGCCAAGGTACCTTTTTCACATGCTACAAAAATAGACTTTTTACTTATAATGATTGTCAGGCGGACAAATTTGTTTTGAGGGATTTTTTAAACTTTTTTTTATGTGAGGGACGATCTCGGGAATGATGGTTTATAACGGGATATAGGATTTTTAGGCATTATGGACGTAAAGGGCAACACATTGGGAAAAACCTCTCTAGGAGGAAAAGTAGTAGTAGATTGGTCAAGGTGTTGTTTATGCCAGTGTACAATCAAGAAAAGCTACTTTGTCCTGCACGTAACCCGGTTGAGAAAACGCGCAACAGTAGCTACGAACATTTTTCAAAAAGTGTTAAAACTTTAATTCCGTTTTCGTACGTCCTGCCGTCTCGCATGCCTATTAACATTTTTGGTGATGGGGAGAGTATTTTAGATGCTTTAATTAACAATGAAGCCAAATGGCATAAATCCTGCATTAGACAATTTTTAGATCAGAGACTAACTGCGCTTGTTAAAAAATTAGATATAGATACATCAGAAAAAGCCAAGGAAACCACTAAAGCCAGAGGCAATAAAAATACGCGCTCTAAGGTAACATTTGCTGTTCCGCAAAATCAGTTGGTTTCTATGCAAAAATGCTGAATCAAAAATACAAGCATTACATAGGTGTGAAACTAAGTAGATTCACGAAAGTGTATTAGATAGTGCTAAAATGCTGGAGAATTCAGAATTGTTAGCAATGCTTAATTCTGGAGATTTAGTGGCACTGGAAGCAAAATATCACAAAGAGTGCCTGGTTGATTTATATTATAGAGCTCGTCGGTGTAAAATGTGTCAAGATGGCGATAGTGCAACTAATTTGTGTGAAGGGATAGCTTTTTCTAATCTTCTAATCTACATTCAAGGTATTATTTTACATCTTTATGTTTTGTGTTCTTATTAAATGTTTGATCTTATTTTAGGAAAGCTAGAAGAGTCTGGAGGGGATTATATTTTTAAAATGATTGATATTGTTAAAATGTATACTCAATATTTGTCGGATCTTGTAGGCGAAATCAAAAATATGGAACATACCACGCGACTTCGGGAAAAAATTCAGATACATTTTCCTGAGCTTAAGGCAGAAAAAGTTGGTCGCAATTATATTTTAAGGCATGAAAAAAATAAAGTTTTCTCTAACATAAATGACGATCAGGAACTAGATGCATTAGCATTTCATCGCTTTTCGAAAACCTAAGAACTGAAATTTCTAAATGCGACACTACGTTCAAAGGGAGTTTTCCTAGCGGCTGTCAAGAACAATGTATTCCTCCACCTTTACTTGCCACAATTATTTTTTATTTGGGTCGGGGAAGAATCGACGATATATTGCAGCTCACAAAATCGCTATCCCGCTAGGAAGAGAAAGGTGTGTAGGCCTCAGGAGCTTTCATGCCTTTACTGGGTGTGACAGTGTGTCCTTCTTTGTCGGAAAAGGAAAAAAGCAGCATGGAAAACATGGATGTCATGTGAGTCAGCAACCGACGCATTTATTTTTATGTCTTTCCCGAATGACCACATTCCAAGTCATATTCAAGAACTTCTTGAAAACTTTACATCAATGATGTATGTTGCAACAACAGGATTCTCCAAAGTCGATCAGCTTCGAAAGCACCTGTTCTGTACTGAAAATAAGCCGCTACACCTAATTCCCCCTAGCTCCGCAGCACTGTTGCAACACTGCCTTCGTGCTGCATATCAAGCTGGCCAAATTTGGGGCAGATCATTGGACATGTTAAAGTGTGACCCACCGACACCAATTTCTTGGGTTTGGGTGCAGCGCAATGAAGTCTGGGAGCCAGTTTGGTCAACACTTTCATCTATATGGACAGCATGCAGGGAGCTGGAAAAGTGCGGCTGCAAATCAGGCTGTGATTCGCAACGTTGCTCATGTCGGCGCGCAGGACTGACTTGTACATTACAGTGCAAGGATACATGTGTAAATAAGTGGTAAATAGTATAACATAAATATTGTAATGATTTATTAACCGATTTATTTTTTTTAGTGCATATGAAGAAGAAGATTTGCTGGACTAAGCTCATAAGCATCGAAATTCTCATATTGGACGTATACTTTCAACCACCCTGTACAAATTTATCAAATAAATTAACACTGCACTAAAAAATAAGTTATTTTAATGAATTTCACGCCAAAAAAAATTGTCAAAATCGACATGAAAACTGTTGATAATTAACAGTTGCGAATTGTTAGTCGATCTTTTTGAAAAAAGACGCCATTTTGAGTCAAACTCAAAAAATGGCTTTGCCCTCCGGGTCAAAAGTCTTATAATGACCTAAAATACGTGTGTGCCAAATTTCATGCTTTTAGACAAATTTGCCGAATGGTTGGATTAACCGCGGCAACTACCCATAAATACTCCAAATCTACACTTTGCCCAGATGTGACAGTTTGACAGTGATATTTACTTTTGACAAAAACTCCACCACCATAGCTATTTCTTTCATAGCGAAAAAAATTATATCCATCAATATGTATAAGAGAAGATGGTATATCAGTTTTAAACCATGTCTCTGACACAGCTACAATATCAAAATCTTTATAACGGACAATAGTCGAAAAGTCATTAAAACCAGCTAATATTGATCGAACGTTAATATGTCCAATTTTTAAAGTGTTACGCTTATAGATATTATTTTTATTCATAATTTATATTAACTTTTAGATTAGATATATAATTTTGAATAATTTGACATTTACTTGTATCTTTGGCAGCGTGGTTAAAATCTAAGCTGGTTTTGTACTTACTATTTTAAATAAAACAATTACTACATTTCTTATGATCTGCTTAACACAATCTTTTATAGAGTGATCGTCTACACCTTACCTTTTGCAACAACTTATTCTTTGATAAATTCTAGGAAAAATGAAAATTGATTTACACGAGATTCATTTATCAAATCGAAACCGATCGATGATTATCACATCACATATTTTAAAATGGTAAATAAACTGATATTGATATACTTACGGGAAATTGATTTTGGTTAGTTCCAGGAGGAAACATAAACGTTCCAGGCCTATGCGGCCCATTCTGCAAAAACTGCGGATGTGGCGGCATCAACCGCAACATACCGGGTGGTAACATTCCAGGAAGAGCATTCATTGGGGGTCGCATACCTGGCGGAGGTATGCTCATTGGCGGTAAACCAGGTGGTGGCAATCTAGTGTTCGCCATGGGGTGCTAAAAAAAATTATTCTTGCTAACCAAACTTCTGTTTCCAGTAAACATTTTTATAACAAAATTATTAATAAATTATCAGCACCTGCAACATAGGATGCATCCCATGTCCCTGATGGTGGCCCTGTAGAGGTAGTAATGGTCTAGGCAACGATTGCTGCTGCTGCTGCTGCTGCTGGAGATGATGTTGTATTTGATGTTGCTGAGCTGCAGATAGCGATAAAATAGTGTTGGCGGCATTTTTGCTAGTGTTAATAAGACTCTTTTCTAACTCCTCAACAGTACATATCTTCTTGGGTTGGGCAGGTAAAATGGGCGCTAGGGGTACTGATGTCGGGTCTGGTCTCGTAAGGTCATTATGGGATTCAATCTAAGAGGTTATTTAGTCAGACGAATTAAAATCAAAAAACCACTATGGTGATAACAGTATGACAATGTCCAAATTATCAATATTGCACTATTATAACATTTGATTTTGTAATAAATGGTGGTTTTATAACATTTCAGTATGTAGTTAAGTATACATAGGCATATGTAATGAAACATTAAAAAATCAACTAAAAAGAGGTAAGTTTATAACCTTAAAAACAAATTCACTTCTCCTACACTGTAGATTTAGTTTATTTTGTGTTTTATTAAATACTAAGAATTTTTACATACTATTTGACTCTTGACATAGTAAATCAGAAAACTTAAAAGTAGAACTCTTACAAAAATACTCTCATAGTAGTCGTAATAATAATTAATAATTGAACTTTGTATACTGTTGTATATACTTTACATTAAAAAAAACCTTACTTACGAAAGCTTTAGATGCTTTTTGCAAAGAAGAAATAATAGAACTATTAAAAATATCTCCATTTTTGCTGGTAGGAGTATAGGACCACACAGAATCGGAAAAGGAAGTGATACGGTTTTCAGAATCATCTAGAACTAGTTGTGATATGGAGTTTTCTGAAAAAAACAAAAAAAATAAAATATTACATGTTTACAATCTATTTTAAATCATAACAAAATTTCCATATTCTATAATTTTCAAATAGGAGATAGTTAATGTAAACAATGGTTTTATACAAACAATATAGAGGTGGTCTCAGAAATATTTTTATTAATCCGTTCGCTGGCGCAATAGGCACATTCCCGAGAAGTAAGGCAGTTGGCAAACGGTGGTAGACAGTGTTAAGTTTTAGTTGGAATGGAGCAATTTACGGAACTGCAACGTGATTTTTTTTTATTCGTGTGTTTTATAAAAACAATGATTCCTATATTCTTGTACGTCATTTGTACAGAAATCATTATAACATAGCAAGAATGAAACATAGGTGCAAATGTAATAAGTACTCTCAAACTTCTTAACCAATATATAATTAAATTAATTAAACGACGTACAAGAACATAAAAATCATTGTTTTTATAAAACGCACGAATACAAAAAGTACGTTGTTGTCCCGTAAATCGCTCCATTGCAACTAAAACTTATCACTGTATATCACTATTTCTCAAGAATGTGCCTATTGCGCCAGCGCATATATTGATAAACAAAAATACTTCTGAGACACCCTTTAGTAGAGTGCCCAAACAATGTAAAATATAAAGAAAAAGCTAAATTCGTATAGCGTGCAATTTCGACTAGAAGAATATACAGACTTTATTTATTTATTTATTGGTTACACCACCCAACAGTAATCACCATTTACTGGGTGGGAAAGACAAAACATTAGAATAATAATACAAATACAAAATTGTTAAAAACCTATAGAATACAATGTAAACATCCAGGAAAAAACTAACCGAACACAGAATTAAAAAAAATGATAGTCCACATTGTGCATGCTTTACATCATTTTTTTTACATTGTTAAAGAAAAAACATTTTTAATCATATATTTGTTACATGCAAAAATATCCAAGCTGTCTTGAATTTTATGTTATTTCTGATTAGATTGATACATTAGAGATGAGTTCAAAGCATTAGTTCTAGAAGCTGTCATATAAACTTAAGTAAACTCTTAAACCAACTCGGAGATTGTTAGATTAACGTAATTTAACAAATCAATACTGTCGACTGAGCCATTTAAAAGGTTATAAAGCAGGAGTACCTGTTGGAAATTTCTGCATATCACAAGATATTAGTAAATCATGATTTTTTTAAATAAATCAGTATAAAGTATAAATCAGTGTAAATGTTATGCACGGGATTCCAAACAACAAAACAGTATTCAAGTTTTGACCGTACAAAGCTAATATATAGAATTTTTAAGGTGAATATGTCTCGGAATTCCTTATAGCTTCATACAACTAAGTTCCTGTTAGCAGCAGATAACATTCTTTCAATGTGTTTAACGGATGTCAGTTCAGGATCAAAATAAACTCCGAGATCTCTTATAAATTCGGGTCGATTTAGAACAACGTTCTGTAGTTTATAATCAAAAATTATAGGATTTAGAGAGTGTGAATGTCGGACAAACACTTTTGAAGTCCCAAGCAATGGTTAACAGAATTGATTTCAAGCAATAATTTTAGGTCGTCGGCATACATTAAAGTTTTATATGAATAAAAATTTCTTTGGTGTATTCGGTCATAAATTTTATTTAATATCGTTAGCACAACACTACATATGTTTCGGAAAACTTCGTTTCCATCTTCGGGTGCAGTCAAAATTTAAAAACATTAAAAAACACATGGGGACGATAACAAACAGTTTAAAATGTCTAAAATACCATAAACCCCATCTTTTTGTTTCAATGTGTGAGGGTGTATTCGAAATAATATTGATTTAGTTTAACACGATAACAAGTTTTAATATTCTCGATATTAGCGACTATTATCATTTATAAAAATTATAAATAAAAGAGGACCTAAAATTTATTCCTGTGGGACTCCTGATTTGATTTTCGTTCATTGTTTTTTGAGTTTTAAGGAATGAATCAATAATAAAATGCGATAAACCTAAAACTAAACAAAAACAAGTTACTAACTGCTTATTACAATAAACTTTA